AGAGACAGGCTCCATTCTCCAGGGCAGATCAATGGTATGTGTGGCATCAGCAGCACAAGGCATGCTGGGGCACCACATGGAGGCAAGCTGGCAACTGTGTGTAGCTGCTCTTGAAGAACCTGGAAATACAGGTGAAAAATACAGACTAAAAAATGAAAATGAACAAAAATACGATTCTTCTGTTTGCATTGGGATGCTTAGCATGCAACCATTTATTTGGCAAGTTTGCTACAGTCTCACTGTATTAAAAAGTCTTTGACAGTCTGAGCTTCTCCTCCTCCTGCCAAGAAGTTTCAAAAACCTAAACCAAATTAGGTGCTCCAAGTTTGTTAAAATTTAAATTAAACCCAAACACAATGCAGAAAACATCGTTTCAACTGTTCCATGGGGAGAAAAGTAGCAAAGTAAACATAGTAAAAAAAAAATATAAACGTTTCCTTATTCCTTCCTAATTGCTTAAGTGGTTTTGAGAAAGCCAAGTGATTCAAGAGTACTTTACAAACACCGGTTCTCTTCGAGCAGCATGCAGTGCAAGTTAAACCCTGTTAGCTCTAAAGCCAAGACTTCCTAGAACAGGCACCTAGGTGTTATTCGGCATCCAAACATCCTCCTTTTCTATGTAATCTGGGGAGCTCCCGGCCCTAGGAGACCACAGAGTGCCTGCCTGAGAGGGTTAAACAGGGTCATTGATTTAATGCGGATTCAGAACCCAACTTTGGTCCTTTAGCAGTATTAGGGCAGGCGGAGGAAGGGCGGGCCACAGCTCCGTCTGCAGCGCGCCTCGGCCGGGGTCAGACCCGCTCCGTGGGGCCTCGCACCGGTTCTGCATCTCCGTGCCTCCCGGGCCCACGCCCGGGCTGCTCCAGGAAAACTCCTCGGGACATCGCACTCTCCGTGCCAGGCACTTCCCGGCGCAGCCTGCCCGGCTCCCCCGCCGCTGGGGCAAGGGATGGAGTGGCGCGGTTGGGCTGCGCCCCTGGGGCAGCCCCCCAGCCGGCCCCCGCAGGGGCTGCCGTGCCGCCCGCCCCCCGCCAGCACTCACCATATTACAGATGGAGGCGATGTTTCTGACAGTCATGAGTCTAAAGGTTGCAGCGATCCCACACCGCCATCTTTATAAGGTGAAAACAGCCCCGCTCATGGTGGGAAGAGCGCAGGAAGGGATAGGGGGCGGCGGCGGCTCCTGCTCCGGGGCTGGGATAAAAGCAAGAGGAGGGGACTGCACAGGCACCCTTTGCGCCCGCAGAGCAGCGAGAAGGACGGACCTTCCCGGCCTCCCTCCTCCGGGCGAGTGACCGGGAGCTTCAGCAGCGCGGGGAGAGCGGCCGCATCTCCGCTTCTTCCGCCTTTGCCTCTCCACGGTCCGCAGGGCCCCGGGCTCCCGCTGGAGCGCTCAGCCGCGCCTCTGCGCCAGCCGGCACCGCGCTAATCTCTCCCTTCCTCCTCCTCCTCCTCTTCCTCCTCTCCCGGCGGCTGCCGTTGCCGCTCGCCGCTCCATCGCAGCGCCGCGCCCGCTGATCCGCTCTGACAGCGCCGGGGAGGGGAAGGGAAGCGAAGGGAAGGGAAGGTCAGAGGCAGCGGCCGGCACGGGGCACCCCAGCGGGCTCGGCGGGGCCAATGCGCTGCGGGGGCGCGGGGAGCTGCGCCCGCCGCCCCTCCGGACCGGCCGTCCGACAGGGGCCGGGGTGCTTTAATCGCCGGGCCTGGAATGGCCATGGCACTGAGAAACCCGGCCTCAGTGCGTACACAGCCGTACCGGCAGGCAGCAGGGTGAAGGACGGGAGGGCTGAGTGCGGGCAGGAGGACGCGGCACTGTGCTTTGGGACGTGCTCACCCCACCTAGTTAGGAGGTACACAGGAGCCCAGGTACTTGCGAAATCCAGAACAGTAGGCTGGAATGTAATTTACTGCCCTCAGTTGGTGCTTTGCATTGCCATTCATGCAGATAACATTTATCTTCACAAATGCTGTTTTGGGACTGTGTCCGCACCACCTGTGCAAGTGCTCACTCACAAATTCACGACATGTGCCATTTATACAACACGGCTAATGTAACAATCTCAGTTTCTCTTCAAACACAAGCAAGTTGAGGCCCATGCCTTTCTCCAAGGCAGAGCAGTGTAAGTATATTACATTTACACACGTGATAATAGGCACAAGGTTGTTAAATAGCTGACTTGAGGTCACATAGCAAATCTCTGAGAGAAGCAAGAACAGAGTTCAGCTAGGGAAATCCTCATCTTAGAATTCACCTTTCCTTAGCAGATGTTGCTTTTTTTTTTTTTTTTTTTTTTTTTTTTTTTTTTCAGCAGGAGCTTAAGGCCCGTTTATTGTTCCTCTGCTATGCTGAGGAAATCATTCAAATGAAGACAGAACTATTAACATTTCTACAGACACCTCTGCTTCTTACAGCACCTCAAGTGTGGCATGCTCATGCTTGGCTACGCCTTTCATTTCATGATGCTAGAATAAGATAATTGCAGCCTGTAGAGCCTGCATCCACAGGCATTATTTACTGGAAACATTCTGAAGTCAGGTTTGTTGTTTTCTTGGGTTTTTTGTTTCATTTTGTTTTGTTTTGTAATTATAATTTCAAATGAAGATCTATGATTAGGAATAAAAGTCTGGCATCAGCAGTAACATCTAAAGATAAATTCCTGCCCTGAGAATACTGTTAGATAAGTGGCCTTAATCCAGCTCACTGTGGACAAGTGCCCACTTTATAAAAATGGTATCAAATTTGGCATTAGTTAGTATCCTGCTGACTGCTTCAGCAAAGAAATTTAAAATCAAGTTGTCACAGAGACAGAATTTTCTTTCCTCCTTAAGCTGGATTAGTTATATTAAATCATTGCAGACATTCAACATACAGGATGGAGAAAGATTTTTTTACCTAACAGAGTGAATGAAGTTCTCAGGGCCACTAAACTGCTTCATTAATCCACAAATCACTATGCAAAAGAGCCATTAAATAACATGGGAAAAAAATTATATTTGGTATAATTCTATTAAGTTCGTGGTCTTACATTATGTGTGAATTTGATCCCAAGTGTTTAATTTGCTTAAACTCAGAGAACTGGATTACACATAATATGACAGGTTTTCTCAACATAACCAGGGAAAATGGGAGTTAAGTTGACATGTCAGGACTGAAGCAATCAAGGTCTGATTAGTTTCCAGCACATTTCTAAGTAGCCTGCTGAGAGTGGACAGTACTGCACCGTCCCTGTTTTTTAAACTGATGCGTGTTATTACACAAGCCTAATAATGTATTCTTTTCTGCAGCCTGCTTATTCCAATTTACTGTGGAGAATCATAGTTGCTATCAGTGAAAAGTTATGGAACAAACAAATAGGTTTGAAAGGTGATTAAAAATTTGAATGAAACAAAATGCAGTATCTAATAAAGCCATTTGCCTCACATATATTTTAATGTCAATAACATTATTTCCTTAATTCAAACTCCACAGAAATCATAGAAAGTGTGAAAACAAAAAAGAAAAAAGTGGTATTTTCATACTTCTGTTTTTCTCAAATGCCAGTTACTTGACTTTTTTTTGATTTAAGTTTTCAGTTGTTTCTGATCTTTAAACAATTTTTGGCACAAAACTAAATTGCTACTGATTAAGCACTTATTAGTTGTTCAAGGGAATGTTTGTAAACATGCACACATATCATTCTATAAAGAATTCAGTATCATATTCCTTAATGCTAGTATAAATACTTTCATTTAAAGGTGAACATTTTTCATCCTTTGTTTCTGAAGATGAATAATAAAAATAGGGTATAATATACAGGAATTTATGTTTCAGTTTGACAATAGTCTAGCACTGTCTTTTTCAATCTTCAGATATATCAAAACAGGAAAGAAGAAAGAAACTTTCATGCTGGAAATGGACTGGTATCTGTTTTTGTTTTCTTCTGCTGTTGTCATTTTCAGGAATAGAAACTTTATTCCTGTAGCTGTTTGAAGATAAAAAAGTGCTAAGTAATGCAACAGATATTACTTACAAACTTTATAAGAATTGTATAAATAAAGAACAGTGCACAATTGTTTCCACTCTGAAGCATTGCCCTATCTCCTTACAACAAACAACCAACCCTGTGTTTCTTCTGAGTGTTAGACAAAGACAAGGAAAACAAAGGACTATTTATAACCTAAAAGTGCTTATATAATTTCTGTTGAAAGGTCAAAAAATACCTCCTGCATTTAATTTTAGATCCATCTTGGTCTCATCTGGTTTTACACTTGAACGTTTCTATTTCACTACATAAAATATGGACCTATTGTAGATATCCTCCTTGGCTAAGAGAGGCGTGGATTTCCATAACATTTTTCATCAGACTTTTTTGCAAGAGTATTTTGCAGGCACTCACTCAGAGTTGTTAAATTATTTGGTGGCAAGTTAATATTAGGTTCTCTTACAAAGCAAGAAAATTGCCAGCAGAAATTTAGTGACTTGCCCAAAGGTAACACAGGAAAGTTGGTAGCAAATCTGAGACTAGAATATCTTTTCATTCTGTGCTACAAAGAGGTATTGCATTTCCTCTCCAGAAATCTTGTAAAATTCCAGAAAAGGTTCATTTATATTTTTCTTGTAATAAACTTGAGCCCAGAAGTGGGTAATCATCAGTCAGTTTTGCTGAACAAATATTTGGAATAGACCAAATTCAGGATATATTTCCAACCAATTAAAAGTTGGAAAAAAGTTTTCTTTAAGTATGGAAAATGTATAAGAATTATAAGAGAATTCAGAGATCTGAAATACTTGCAGTGCTGACAATGTAGGTTTAGAATTTTACAATTTTTAAAATGTTTTGTATCTAATATTATGTTCTACCAAAAAATAGCAAAATATCTTTAACAAAATGGAAAATATGTAGACACAAGAATGAGAAATCAGGCTCTTCCATGAAGCTTGGCCTCATTTCAGAACAGACTGGTGGCTTTAGAACAATGCCAAACACCAGCTTGCAGCCTATGGATTGAATCTGTGGCACATGGCTCATAGCAGGTCCATGGAAACCACTCCATCTGCACCTGAAATTCGAATGGTAAGAGTGAGTTGTAGTCCATGAACAATTCATGGAAATCCATAGAAAATTTGGAGAGTCTAAAACCAAAAAATCAACCCAACTTTAGAATCACTATTCTTCTTTAAGACTGTCATCTTCAAAGCAACCCCTACCCAGCATTTTCAAATTATCTGAGAAATTATTCCTTGATTCAAAATACTGTAAAACTTCATGGTTTGGTGACAGTATGACTTGTCAGCATTCTAAAGATAAAGTATGGAAATAAAACTGCATTAAATTGATCCCCAAATCTTGCTTACCTTTTGCTATTTTAAGTATTTTACTAGTTGGTAAGTAGAGAATATAATCGCTTAATTTTTCTCAGAAATTACTACTCTACAGAAGAAAACAAAACACATTTACAGCATCTGACATCATCTTTTCTTGGCCAGACGCCAGATCTGAAAGCCCAAAGAGAGCAGAATAAGACAGATGCAAGTACATTGATGTCGAGGTACCAAACGCTGACAGAGTAGCTACAAAGGGTCTAAGAGTTCTCTAGTGCAAGCCATTAAATTCTATTCTATGAAGAAGCTGTTGAAACCTCTGCAGCCAGTCCAGTGTTGATAATGGCCTGGAGCTATGATTATCTCATTATATATTTCTTTCTCCTGCCGTTTTCCTTCTGCTTGAGTTTCAAATACACTGTGTTAAGAGCTTGGAACAGTGACAATAAGAGAACTTCAGTGTATTGCTTCATCAGTTTAAACAATATTAACTTTTCCCACACTCAGTACTCAAGTAAAAATATTCCCACCTTTCCAGAAAGAAGACTCTTGAAGAATGGCCTCTTCATCGGGTATAGTATCCAGCAAGGGAGCTCACTAACAAACTTTACTGGCATTTTTCTTACCTATGCAAAATGTGCTTTCAGGTGGAAAAACACTATTTAAATTCTAATCATACATATTGACTGGAAAGAGATAACCAAAAATTTTAACCATGGAAGCAATTTACCAAACAAAAAGAGATTCACTGAACAAAAATAACAGAAAATTGAAGTTTTTTACAGAAATATATTGGTATTTCTGCCTCTGAAAAGGAAATAATGATTCTGGCTTGCCTTTCTCTTTTCCAAAGATTTTATTTATTAGTTTTATTCTATTCTACAGGCACCAATTTTAACTCACAAGCATTCTGAGGCCAAAAATACCCCAAAGGGCAGATAAGCAGTAAGTGGCATTTAGTCTTTTTTCAGTATGAATTTAAAATAACCTTTACATTTTATTAAATTATGCATAAATTGAATTACACTTTTATTACATTACACTAGATCTCAAAGTTTTAACCAGATCACACACACACACACACACACACACACACACAGACACACACACACACTCACACACATATATATGTAAGACTATTACATTCTAAGATTTGAAACCTGACAATTATTTAATGCTACTGAATACTAATACTACTTTGCAGGTAATCCACCTGTAAAGACTGATGGTTTACAATGAGATTTTACTTGATTGATTTTCCTTCATATCAGTGTGGAGAAAGTAAAACTGAAGTGAAACATTTATGACAATTGCACATTGTGGTAAACTCCTGATGTTGTTAAACAAGTTGTTTTCTAGAGTCTTTCTTCTGTGAGAAGCATCAAAGCAGTGACTTTGATACTTAATTCTTGCATGTAAGAAAGAGAGACTTGGCTAGTTAGAGCACCGCTCTTCAAGATTTGAACAAGTTAGTTCAGCTCACCTAACTCCTTAAAAAGCTCAACACTAATCTAGAAAATAACCAAGACACTCTGCTGCCACTTAATAAATTTTAAAATGTCCCCATGATAACTGGATTTCCTACAAAGTCTGCTCATGACCAGGCCTGTATTTCTCCCAGTTAATGAGTGATCCAGGGTAATCTTAAAATTAACCTGTACTCAGATCTACCAATATCATGGTTTTTCCCTCAAGTCCCCAAAGTACTCACATTGCAGGCAGACTCAGCGCCCAGCTGAGAAGTTCATTCAGATAAAAGTTACATCCCACACACACAGAAACAGCAGATCTGCCTGCAGCCTTGTAGGCAGCAACTTAGTGGTTACAGCACTTTTCCAGGATGGAAGAACTAACCTGCAAGTAAAGAGGCTCAAATCCAGATCTGATCCTTGCAGTAATTTATTAAAGGGCAGTTATTTTATTCTATAGAGAGGGTTTGGAAAAGGACAGATAGGTCAGGTAGACTCTGCATTTCTTCTCTTGAAGTTGTGATACTATCAGACACAGTTTCATGGAGCCAGAGAGAAGGCAAACAATACAAACTTTGTATGGAGAAAACTGAAGAAAGCTTGTGAGGGTCAAGAAAAAGGTGTAGGATTATGTGAATGATTGAAATGCTCAGCTGGGATGGATACTGGGATGGTTTGCTGAGGATTGCTGGTTTTCTGTGTAACAGAAGTGCCAATTTACATTCTGTACTGGAAAAGAAGAAACAAAACTTGACATAAATCCCACTGGCACAAGTGCTAAAAATTTAAAGGTTGAATGCCATTTCATCTTTTTGAATACATTCCATAAAATTACTGATGTGACTTAGATGTCTCACTGTAGAAAATAGTCATTGCAAAGAAGCCCGCTTGAAATAACTTAAAACTACATCTCACAAATTTCTCTCCAGAGATGGATTTGCCTAGAGACATAAGAGAGGTTTTGAATCTTGATGTACAGACAATAAATTGTCAGACAATCTGCAACAATGTTTTGAGTGTCAAGAAGTAGACAGAAGAGGTAACTAGAAGTGGTAGGAAACAATTTCTAGAATCATCCCTTGATTGCAACTATGTGACTATTTCTTTCAGGCTGCATAATATTGGTTTAGCTCTGTTGAGAGTAATTTAAATACAGGGTTAAAATTAGGGATAGCGGGCCAACTCGTTATTTTATTTCCACACACTTTACAGGTACTGTGCAGGTAGTAATTTGGCATGAGCCAGGAAATATTGTTTCTCGCTGAGAAAGGAAGGTATGAATTATCAGCAACATACACACCTATTTAAGAAGCAGTGACTTCCATTCAGTTCAGTTTGGACAATGCTCTTAGGCACAGGGTGTGATTGTTGGGGTGTCCCGTGCAAGGCCAAGGGTTGGACTCGAAGATTCCCGATGGGTCGCTTCCTCCTCAGTATATCCTATGATACATTGTGATTCCTACCTACCAGCTTTGCTGAGCAACATACAAAGTCTTTGTGCTACAAACTACTAATTCCCTGTTTATTCTGATCTGCTCACTCCAAAAGCTCTTAGCAGCATTCCCGGACAGGCAGCCCATTTGTGCGGGGCAGAGCAGCAGCAGCGCTCCGCAGCCGCAGGACAGGCCGGGCGCCGCCGCGCAGCCCAGCACAGCTGCACCTGCTAACGCCCGGGCATCAGCGGGCCCCGGAGCTTCACCTCACCATCCTCACACTCAGCTCCTAAGCCTCCTAAGCAGGGCTTAGGCAGGAGTTTAGACAGAGATCAGCGGCATTTAGTGCCTCAAAACCGCTACACAAATGCCACTTCGCACCGAAGACACTTCTGTTTCCCGGTGTTAAACATCTCCGGGCACCCAGAACTCGGCCTGTGCAGGAACGGACGAGCTGAGCCATAGGGGCGGCCGCAGGAAGCACAGCCGAGCGCCCAGCCCGGCTCTGGAGCAGCCCCGGAACTCTCTGCCTCAGCGCGGCTTCACCGCCCCGCCCGCGCGGGGTCACGCGCGCTGTTCTCGCCAATAGGCAGCGGCGGCTGGAGCGCGTGGGTCTCGCGGGAGCGCGGGCCGGTATTTAATGGCCGGCGAGGGGCGGCTCAGCCTTTCTGTTCGCCGGCCGAGGGCGTGGTAAGCTGGCTCCGGGCGCTCTCAGGAGAAACTGCCCGCGCTCCGCACGGACGGGCCCTAGAACTGGGGGGTGGAACCTGTGTGGATTTCCCTTCACATCTTGCCCTCTCGGAGCTTGGCGGTGCTCCGGGGAGTCAACACAGGGGGATAGAGCAGCTTTCCCTCACTAAAACCCAGTGCGGAGCCCTTCCCTCCGCCCTGCATCCTGTCGTGAGGCACAAATGGCCCGTCCCTCCATACCCCCCTCACGGTCCCCTTGCTGCCCGGCTGATGCCTGTTTCCCTCCGCAGTGTGTGCCGAGTGCCGGCGAGCCCTTGACATGCTCCCGATGGGCAGGAGGCCAAGCGCGGCAGGCCGGGGCAGGGGGAAGCGCTGGCGATCTGCGCTCAGCCTTTGTACCCCCATGGGTGAGGGGCACACCGAGATCATCACTCCTCCTACAGCCTGGGGCTGGTAAGAAAATGCTTCGGGCTTCAGAAGTGGAGGGCTTTGAATCTCGAGATTTTTAAAAGACAAACATCTATGGGGTGCTGCCCTGTGTCTCTGAGCCGAACTAATTGTCTATGTTTGCACTCTCCCGTTCTTTAACCCGCAGCTATTGAGCTGCACAGACCTTAAATCTAGTTTTTTTATAGGACACATTAAGAAAACTACAGTTATAACCTGTGATGTTTAGGCTGTAGGCACTTGGGACTTGGACTCAAATGGCCTTAATAACTGTTCAAACAAAGAAAAAAACCTCTGTCTTGAGCTTTCCCTGCAGTCTTCTACTCCGCTTGTAAGTGTCCTTTGTCTCTTGCTTCAGGGCTGAATAATTTGTAACAAGGTCCATATCTATTTGTGAGTAGACACAAGGTATCAATGAATTGTCAAAGATTCAGTCAAATCTACAGGTTTGTGGCTTACCTTGGTACTGTCAGCACTAAAAGGAATTCAGGCTTAATAAGCTTTCCATTGTTTATGATTAAAGTTATATTTTACAAAATGTTAAAAATATGTTCTCTGTAGTTTAACTGGGCTAATGAACATGACTTATCATCATATTGAACCACTAATTACCTTTTGCTCTAGGTTTTGATTTGCAAACGAACTTCTTGTAAATGACTTTTGCAACTCCATGGAAAATTACTTTTAAAATGTTTAACAACATAGTAGCAACTTTGTAGAATAAAGTTTAGTTTAAAATTTTAGCTTAGTTAAACAGTATTAATTATAGTTTTCCAATTTTTTGTGTGTTGTTTAGAGGCCTCACAGCAACCTCATGCTTGAAATGTTTTAGACATGGATAATCACACCTAAATGTGAAGCAATACTTGTGACTTCTTAGGAATAAATAATGCCTTGTAATGGAAGGTAAGTGTGCTGTCGTCTAATGACAATTGCCAATCATTTTTAATATTGCTCTTTAATAATTTACAAATTTCAAGCAAATTGTAGTATCTCTTGAGAAAATAGCAAGTTCAGATCATCTTTGTTGATAAGAAAACAATATACTAAAATCTACTCCCCTTTTATGCTTTGCCCTCTTAAGTCTGGCGGTGTCTTAAGTGGCCAATACAGAGGGGAATAAAAGTTCTCTTGCAAACCCAGAGGTGAGGTTGAAACTCTTCTTTGGATCATGCTTAGGAGGAACACATTTGTATAACTGCTGAACTTCAGGACGCTGCAGAATCAACTTTATAAATAGTTTGTAGGAAGATTTTGAACTGTCCTCTTGTTATGATATCTCACTCTTAATATCACAGGTTTCTCAAATCTTTGTGCTTTGTAAACCTATGTGATTAATGTCTTAAATGAAGAGTTTCTTGTAAATCATTTTAGACTCCAGGTATGTAATTGTGAAAAAGATTATCAGATAATAGTGAATGCATTCTGTTCCTGAAAGAGTTTATAGCTTTGGTGAAAAACTTGTGTGGTAACTGTTAAAACTTTATATAGATTTAGAAAGAAACAAATAGCAAAAAAAATCAAAGGAAAGCCAGTGATAGTTACTGGATCTGTTTATTCTAATATAGCTGGTCCTCTGGAATGGAATCCATACTAATGGTATAGGAAAGGAAAATCCCATCCTCTACAAAGTAATTTCTTTTGAGAAATGGCTCTGGCCTAAGGTTAGTATCTTGTAGAAGGTTAATGTAGCTCAACCTTAGGGCAGTTACCTGTTTTGTGTGTGCATAATGCTGACTGCAATTTAAATAGAACTTCTTTTACAGGAATGAAGACAATGTGTGCCAGGAACTGACATTAAACATCAGTTTTATGATTTCCTGAGTGGGTGATTTCTGACTTCATACAAGATGATTCCAGTTGTCATCTCTAAGTATTGTCTTGGAAGTAGAATTGAGACAAGCAATGGCTTAAATTATGTGTTCAATGATGATGTTGAAACAGGCATCTTACCATTTGTTGGAACAGGTTTCCTAACAAAAACTGCTGTAATTTGACTGTTTGTGGATTAATTGAAATAAATTATGAGTATTAATTAAATGTATGCTACTAAAAGTTTGTGTTCTGAAGTTTTCTTGTTAAGGTACTTTCTGTATGAAGGCTTTGTTTCATGGATGTAAACACTTGTGCTGTCACACAGAAACATTCTCTTGCCATGTTCAGACTTGACAAGCTTAGTCTTGAATTTACAATTCCATTGAAAAAACACTCTGAATATTTTAAAGTATTTTGTAATGTAAAAGCACTGAGATCAATCAGCTAATTGTTATTTCATTACACTGTGTGTGTTCTGTACAAAAGCATTGTCTCAAACTGTAAAGAACAAGTTACCAAGAATCTCATTCCTTGCCTATTTTAAATTAAGAAGGTAAAGGTTGCAATATTCCATGTAAAGCACTATAAGTGAGGAGGTCCTTGAAAAGCAAGATTATTGTTGAGCAACTGAAAAGTTATATATGCTTTTCAGTAGCTTATGTCTTAATATTGGAAATGTTTTTCTTAATGGTAGGTCTTAATTTTGTGCATCCTGTTACTGCCAGTGCTTCTGTAGAATGTACAAGCAAGGATATGAAATAGTCAGAAATGGCTGTCAGGTGCTCACTACTGCCTACTTAGGAGAGTGAGTTGGTGTGGATTTAGGAACAAAATGTATGTGTGTATTTGCCCATAGATGGTCATATTTAACTGCCATCTAGACAGGAACTTCTTTTTTACCTTTGCTTAAACATACACTAGAAGGGATGAAATTGCCTACTTGTGGCCTTTTAGGCTCATCTAAGTCTGCTTGTTTTAATAAGAGACAAAATTAAATTTAAAGGATATACAGAAGTACTTCATGATATTAAACTTGACAAGTGTCAATTTCTTCTTGTAAGAAACTATAATTTCTTAAAGTCTTGTCAGTTCTATAGACATTTGTCTTCTGTAGCCATGCTTAAGGATTAGTTTTCAGTCTGTTCAGTTGTGTTATGGGGTTGTTCTATGCCCTGTGCAAGATTTCTGATTTGCCTCTCTCAGGTTCAATGTTAATTGGTGATGTCTAGTAAAGACTGATTCCTGAATGTTTACTCCTGTTTTCCTTAACCCGTAAACTTGTTTACCTTGATAATTTGGCATGATCTTTTCAGTGAGCTGTCTATGCTTGCAGAATTTCTGAAGGAGTCAGGAGTTATCTTAGAATTAGGGTTGGCATTTTTCTTTCCAGATTAATTTATCATGCAATAAATGGCATTAAATTCCACATGCTGCTCTGTCCACAAGGATCTTGTCAGAATCAAGGTCTGTTGGGATCTGTAGCCAGGCTTTTTTTTTTTGTTTGTTTCATTGCTATCTAGTTTCCACTTTCCCCTCTCCCCCTTCCTTAAAAAGAGGTGTGTCTTAAGTTTCAAGAAGTTTAATGTAAAAGTGTTCTAGGATCTACCTCTTTCTATTACTGACAACTAAAGTTTTGTGTCAGTATGTCTGGTGCAGAAGATAAATTTTTCACATTAGTGGCTTACACAGTATATTTGCACTATGATATAAAAGCTTCCAAATAGAATCACTCTGAAATACCCACATGCCACTAAGTGACAATGCTGCATGCAAGGTCCAGCCTTTGCTGTTCTCTTTTTATGAGACATCTGGTTAGAGAGGCCACTCCAGACATTATCCACTATTCTGATATCACACAGCAAAATCGAATAAATTGAGTGGGTTTAGTACATCTACAGAGAGAGATCAAGAATGAAATAAAGTCTACTTGAAACTCCATGGTGAACACCTAAAGTTTCATCAATCTTGTTCTTTAAATAACTAGGCAATTTTAAGGCATTATTCTGTAAAAACTGATCTGCTTTAATGTAAAATCCAAGTAGAGATTGTATTTTTGACTTCTTTAAAGTATCAAATTATTTCATGTATTTATAAACCTTATATATTTTTACATATGTGATATTTGTTATCATTAAGTTGGGGCCATTGCTTTATGCTGGAAGCTCATTTTGAAGAAAACACTTGTTGGAGTAAGTCACTTTAGAGTACTCTTTTTCTGTGACTTCTCATGAGTATTTATAAGAAATCTCTCCTCAATTAACTTTGGCTTGCTCCTATTCCATCTACATGCTTTTGGGAGTATAAATATGTCAGTTCAGGCATCGCTCACCTGACTACATTTGTGATAGATCACATTAAAGTAGTGAAGCAAAACAAAGGGATTAGTATTAATCTAGGTGTATGAAGTGGGTCTAAATCCAGTAACTTCATTGTTGTAAATGAGCTCATTCACCCCGACCCCCACCTTGGGGGACTGCTTGGGGCTGTGCAGTTCACCAAGAAACCTGGTTTGTTTGATGAATGCTATGCTCTAAATGGAGTAATAACATTACAATTATCCCTTTTGTTACTTGTTGGACAAGTGAGGACTAAGAGAAGAAAAATAGCCAGATTTACCTGAGAATTGTCAAGGGCTACCAAGTTGGCTTACAGCCTTGTTATAGGCTAAATGACATGAAGCCATATAAAACATGAAACCATGTATAAAACTCAGTGCCTTTATACATTTTTATATGTGTGCTTTGTACAACAGGGATTTTATGAGAGATTTGGGGGCAATAAAGAACCAGGAAATATATAATATAGTTTTTAATCTGTACACTTCTTTTTGTTCTGGCTATTGATAGCAAATGTAGCTATTGTAGCAAATGTAGCTGCTTTGGGTTTTCTTTGACTAAATCTGATCTAAGGTTAATCTGTTCATCAAGATGGAAGACTGTCAAACAAAAGGGGAAATGTTTACATGCCTATGTGTTTATTCCTGTTCTCACAGACAATTGAAAATCACGGTATTTCCCATTTTGCTTCCTTTTAGTAATTGATTAGTTACAATTGATGAGACACAATAATCAAAGGAATAAAAAAAAACCCAACCTGAATAATGTCATTGTGGAATAATGTGCATAGCTTTGGACAGTTTTCCATATACAGAGCTACACAAAGCGATATTGTGTTATGTTCTGTGCAAGGATCTGGCAAGTCATAAAAATGTGCTTCTTTGATTGAGTTGTTGTTGTTATTTGTGTTTGGTTTTGGGTTTTTTTTTGTTATGTTTTGTTTTCTTGGGAGACCACCTTAAAAGTCTGGTACTCTGCAAGAATTTTAGTTCTGAGGAGCTTGTCAATATCACAGCTTGTCTGATTTCTGCTTAGTAATAGAAATTTGTGACCTCAGGGTTTTGTAGTGCATTGTTTTGAATAATTTGAAGTTTGGATGCAGGTATTAATTCATCCTAGAATAAGCTTTATGACTCTTTGTGGCCTTACATTAGGAAATCAGTCTAAGTGATATTCAGTGGTAAGTTCGGAGGTAATACTCAAGTAACAATGGCTACTGGCTGTCATAGCTATTATTCTGAATTGATGGTTAGTTGACTGCATCTTCTTTACTTTTCTTCATAATGTTACAGTTGTATCCAAGATCCTTCAGTTTGTGCAAAGAGGGTGAGAATGTCAGCTGAATGCACTTGAATCGAAGAAACAATGTGTATGCATCCCGTGCATTCTGGTTCAGATCAATGCAGGCAGACATTTCTTACCACATTAGAGTCCTTTTTCTGCTTGTTACATCTCAGATCTATATAAACCACATTTTCTTAAAACTTTCTGCTTTGGGTTTCAGATGCAAGTCTCATTGGATTTTTCTACACATCAATACTTTTGCTTACCTTGGTAAAGTGGCTTGAAATTTGTTGCTGCAGAGGAGGAGTTTTTCTGTTCAGTGGACTTTGATTTAAAGCTCAGGGATTTCCTCCTATGCTTTGATAATTAAATTCCACAGCTTTGACTCAATGCATAAATAATGAATACTGTAAAACTGACAATACTAATACTTTTTCAGTTTAAAAAAGTATAGAAGCTGTCAAAAATGACTTGCCGTCTTCAGATTGCACTGTATGTGTTTATTTTAAGACACAAAGTTATTTAATTGATCACACATTCTAATAAATGTATTTCAACAAATACTTTATTAAATGTACAAGCAGGGGTAACTGGAAATAAGCAGAGGTCTAGAAACAGCAGTGTGCATAAAACCAGGGAAAGAAAAAATACTGGGAGTTCCTGCTTTTAGCATTACCTGGGTTTGGAGATGACAGGTCATGCAGAGCTCTAATTTATTTAACATGGTAGTAAACGAGGTCATTTTATTTCTTTCTCAGAAGTATATTGTGCACTAAAGCAGAAATGGTATGTGGCCTATGAATCAGCGTGCTTTTCAGACTTTCTACTTCTAAGCAAAGACTCCCAGCTCAGAAAATGAAAGAAAATCGATAGCTCTGCAGAAAAAAAATTCTTAGCAAGCTACTCAAAGAGATTGCCAACTGTAATGTTCTCAGGATTTTAGTAATGGATCCTATTAGGATCATCACTTCAGGATTTTGTTCCTCTGAAGTGTAAACAGAACGTACACACAACATACTTCACTGGTAAACTGACTAGAAGAAATAAAAGCCAACTACAGCATAGAGAAGGATGCAGTTTGTTTCCAGAAATAATGTGTTCTCTTCCACCTACCCAGACTGAAGGTACTGATTTCAGGTCAAGTATGCCACAAGCTTTTTGGAGTTGCTGGTATGCCCTGACATACCATGACTTTTTTCTACATATTTCTGTAATTAAGTTAGCTTATGCATTAAATACTGTGTAGTTCACAATTTTATGAACTCTTTTCTTGAACTTCTTGCTCATTTTCTTTGGAAATTGCTAGGGAAAAGAAAGCATCCAAAGAATTCATCATAAAGCCTTGAGAATTTGAGTGTGTGTATTTATGCTGTTAGAGAGGGGCTGATGGTCTTCCTTTTTGACTAGAATTATGACAACTGGATGCAGATTCAGTTATCAGATGAGAGCTCTCCATATTTGGATAGAGTTTAGGTATGAAATAAAACAGTGAAGAAAAATTGTGAATATATTATTCACCCTCCTGAATGTACCATGTATCTCAAACTGCTTCACAACACTCAATTATTGTGCTGCTGGCACTTCAGGAACTGTAAGCAGAACCAGCAGTTGTTATGAAGT